TGTGTGTGTGTGTGTGCGTGTTTCTTGTGTAAGCTGAAAGACGCGAAAAATTATTGAAATATCTATTGCTCCAAGGGTTCAGGGGATCTCGTAGTCGAGCAGTCTCGACTAGAGCTTTCTTACTTGTTTTCTTTTTTGTTTTATTTGGTCAATTTTTTCTTGTTTTTTAAATATATATGTTGTATTGTTTATTTATAAATTTTTGTGTGTGTAGCTACATACTTTTCTTCTCGCGTTTGGCATTTATTTGTTTTTGTTGTTTATCAAGCGTGGGCTTTGTGTGCCGTTATGTTCGCCTTTCTAAGCGTAAATTCCATACAAGTGAAAGCCAGCGGGGGCGGTGGGAGGGCAAAAGGTGGGCGAGTCAATGATGAGCGGCGAATTTATATACTTGTCAGAATTGTTGCCACCATTTGTGGCATATGCGAGTGCGAGTGAGTCAACAAAGCATCAAATCTTATTTACTTGAAGATTTCCCCTTCCAGGGAAGGGGTTTTGTTAAGATGTGTGTAATAGGCGCTAGAAGGCGTGGCAAGGGCTATAAACTATGCCTATTATTGAGCAGGACGAGCTGATTGAATGTACATAGCTAGGTTTGCAGTTCCTCCGTCTGATTCAAAGAGACCTGAGCTGACTCATTCTGATTTCTTATGACCGATAAAAATCGATTAATCAACATCGGCTTTTAGAGCCTGTAAAGCAAAAGAATGTGAAGACTTCCCTAAGCTCTGGTGATGAATATTGAAATTTCGAATATATTGGATTTGGGTTACTTTAATCTCTATACCACCAAATTGGAGAAAAGCTTCAATTTTTTAATAAAAGATAGATAGTCTATTTCAGCAAATACAAATTGTCAGTAATACGTTCCAAAAAAATGTATGAAAAAAGTCTAACTGGAGTTATCCAATAATTCATTTCCCATGGTAAAGTCTTTAAGCACCGTCCAAGAGAGCTAACTTGAGACAACTTTTATATGTATGTTCATTTGCATAAGTGTGTTAGCTCTGTGTGCTATTCAATAAACACATAATGTTCAGGGCTCGCGGTATCTCCTAGTCGGGCAGACCCGCACAAACTCACCAAGACGGTGTTCTACCCTTTACAAAATACCATTTCTTGAGACGGTGTCAGTTCGTTAAGTCAGTAAATTCGATATATGTGAATATGTATATCTAATATGTAGTATTTGGTATTTGGTATTTGATATTTGGTATTTAGTATATACTATATACTGTAGGAACTCTATTTGACTTGCTCCTCATACAATCATAGTAGCCCTATAAACACTTTGTTATATGAATTCGATTTGAAATTGTGTGAACTGCAGTAGACCGATAGATGTCAAGCATACACATACAAGTAGGTATTTCGAAGTGTATAAAAATATAAAATAAAATTTTCATAACGTTTTAAGTATTTGTCAATGTTGTATATTGTCGATATGTGTTTAACCGTAAATAGCTAAATAAATTTTCCGTATAATTCGCGCCGTTTTTATCAATATCCAAATTCAATTGTTCAATATCAAAATTCTGTAATGTGATTGCACCAAATCGAAGCGAATCGAAATTTGTGAAGAAGCAATATCAAACGACTATTGCTTCGAGTCCTCGCGCAACAAAGCGAGAGAGGACGCGCGCGAGAGAGAGCGGGACAAGGACAGGCATAGGGAAAGGGACAGCCAGAGAGTGAGAGAGAGAGAGAGAGAGAGAGATAGAGCCTTACTGACCGAGAGCAAGAGCGAGCCAATTGCCAAGCAAAGCAAAGCAAAGCGAAAGCGAAAGCGAAGAAGCTCTTGACGCACTGTAAGAATTGCCCAGTTTGAACACGTTGATTATGTGCGCACGGCCAGGTGAAAAACACGTGCACAATTAACAACAACAACAACAGCAGCAACAACAACTGCAACAACTGCAATTGCAACTTGTCCAGCGCGGCATGCGCAACGATTAAGCATTGCTCTAGTTGTTGCTGCTGTCATTTGTTGTCGTCACTCACTGTGAATGATTCACAATGTGTTTGGTGTCGTCATCGATAGCCGCGCGCGCAATTCAGCGCATTTTGAATTGTATAACTGGGTATTTGATTTCATTTGTTCACATTTCTTGTTTTGTTCTTGCCTTCCGTCCTGCTCGCCCTCTCTCTCTCTCTCTCACTCTCACTCTCGTCTAGTGCCAAGAACGCAAGAAAACCGAATCAAGTCACACACACAACACCAACCCAGGGGCCAGCACACAAATTGTTTATATCGCGCTCGCTGCTAACCGCGGCGTTTAGTTTGATTTGCACGGCAAGTGCAGGCGGGCGAGTTGCGAGCCACAGGCGAAAGTCAACAACAGCTTTGAGTGTTGGCAAGGCCGAGACAAGACTAGACAGGATAGAGATAGAATAGAATAGGATAGGACCGAACCGTACCTGAATTGACCTGATCTAATATATTGGCAGCTATTGGCCAAGTTATTGGCCCAATTCGTTCGCATTGAGTACGAACTCTGCGCGTTTGTGTAGCTCAGCCCAGCAGAATGCATATCTATCTGGAAGATATCCTGCAGGTGCATCTGCTCAAGATTTGTAAGTCGCGTGCAGCGGGTGTTTACTGTAGTGAATATATCATATTATATATATTGATGATTGATGTCTGCGCTCCTTTACTGTCAATTGCTATACATATTTAATCATTATTCTCCCTCTCTCTCTCTCTTACAGATGACAACATGCAACGCTTTAACAGCAACAATACCAATACCAACAACCAAAACAACAACAACAGTGTCAACAGCAGCAGCAGCCAGCATAAGCGCTGCTCACAGAAATATAACATAGGCTCAGCCGCCGCCACAGCAGGCAATTATCAGCAGCAACAGCAACAGCAGCAACAGCAACAGCAGCAACAGCAGCAGCAACAGCAGCAGCAGCAACAGCAATGCAACAACAGTCGCGCCGCACGCAAGGCACGCTACAATAACAAACGCCAGGAGACTCAAGGATCGAACGGCTCCTACAACATGCAGAAGCGCGCCAATGCAGCCGCAGTTGCTGCCGCCGCCGCTGCCGCAGTCGCTGGCAACACATCGTCCTGGCAACGCTATGTAAATTCTTCATGCATCGAAGGTGAGTCCAACAACAACAACAACAACAGCAGCAACTTGATCTGATTCATGCATATAAATTCGCTGCGCCGTTGTTTATAAGAATTCCGCGCAAATCGCACGCTCATTCACAATGATTCATCAGTCACTGTTGTCGTCGTCGTCGTCGTCGTCGTCGCGACGTCATCGTCAGATTTCTCCAAAGTAACTTAATCAGCTGGCACACACACACACACACACACACACGCACGCACAGATAGATAGATACGTGTGCATGTGTGTGTGTGCTCGTATCTTGAATCAAAAGCAACGCACTTAGAGCGCGCACTCACTTTAATTAGGGTCGACTTTCCAACGCCTTATTGGGTCACCCAGCCGCCCAAACACAGTGCGCGTCATAATTATACATACAGTTAGAACTCTGATCGAACGCTGATGATAGCCATAACAAAGCGAACAGGTTAAGCTAGCTTAGAACTAGACTCTATGAATCTTGCCTAATGTGGCTCAATATAGTCAAAGGTTTGCTCTGACGTTTGATCTATTTGGGGCTCAGCCCAGCCATTGCCATTGCCAGCCCAGAGCTGGCCATGTGCTCAATGCCAAATGGCTGTGGGAAAATCACAACTGGAAAAACCGCAAGACAATGAAAATACAGCAGAAATACAAGTAAAAAACATTGCAAACGGGCGTTAAGGACTGCTGCAGCATACTGCTGCATGGGCAAAACTGCTGGCAGATATGCCACGCCCTCAATTATAGATTATGTTATGATTTATATTATATATTCATAAGCCATCAACAGAACTTCTATAGTTCTTCCAATTTTCCCGTGTTGCCACACCCTCAATGGGCGTAAATATATCCACGATATCATATTAACTTTGAGCTGTCAACGTGAGCAAATTTATTTCAAATTCAACTCTCAAGAAACTCTCAATTACTAAACTTTTTGGGATACTGGAATATGTATTTTCGATCAACCACGCCCTTAGTGGGCGAACAAACTTGATAATCTAACAATCGAGGCTATACTATATACGACTATCCATGCCAAATCAAATTAATTTACCTTCAGACAGACATTGCTCAAAACCAATATGCCCAATACCTTTTCCTGAATGAGCATAACCAACAGAAATTGTAAAACGCAGTTTTTGTTTTTTTGTTTTTCAACCTCACTCAATCAATTTCGTATTATTTATTCGCGCACTTATCTATATCGTGGCCAACGAGGTGGCTATCTGAGCAATAACATTGCTTTTATGAGGGGCTCTTCAAACTAAACAACCGCCCCTAACAGCGGCCAGTCCCCTGCACTCTTCTCTCTCGCACTCACGTTTAATTAAACTAGATTTGGGCTTAGTTTATATAACTAAGGAAAAGATTTCAAATCTTTAGCCGCAGGTCAAGTGAACGGAAGTTGCGTATGTTTAGCCATGGATCTTTTGGCAAGACAATTGCACACACAAAACACACACGATCGGTATTTTGAGGTTAAGTATGCGGGCCTCTCTCTGTGATTCACAAAAAAAAAAACTATTTCCAGACCTCGGTTGCGGTATTTCAATTTGCAATTGAAATGTAGAATCATAAATAAGAAAATTGCAGGAAATCTTCGCTTAAGCTTAACCGCAACAACCTTAATGAAAGTCGCTGCACACACACACACAAACACATTAAACACACACACATACACATAGATTTCAGCCTCTTGCTCGACTTTCGCTTTCAAACAGAAAAATGTGCCACAGCCAAAAATCAATTAAAATTCAGACTCAAACATGACAAATGATTAAATACCAAGAGAAGAGCGGCAAGAAGAAGAAATAGAAATAAAATATTTAAAAATATATTAGCTAAACAAATAAAGCAATTCACGCTGAGAAAGTATTTTATATGATTTAGTTTTTAGTTTAGGAAGCTGCGACAAGGCTGAAATAATAAAGTCCGAACTATAAAATACCCTGACCGTGAAGTGTGTACAGGGTGAAATATGATAGATAATTTCGTAGTTGTTCAGCCGTGTTGATAACGATAATGAACATGATCATGATGCAATTCGAAAATTTGGAATACAATTATTTGAGCTGGGAATCATCTAAAAATAAATTAAATGAATGAAAGAATGAAATATTAAATAAAAATTAAAAAAAAAAAACTAAG